GACGAACCCCTCCTACCACTCCCCCCCCACCCCGCCCTTCAACAACCTCACCCACCAGCCCAGCCCGCCCAGGCCTGCTCCTCTCCCTCTGCCCACGTCCTTGGTGTGTCTATTGGCACTGACATCATCTGCCCTTAGATTCAGAGACTCTAAGCCAGTGGTCCTCAACCTTCCTAAAGCCGCGACCCTTTAATACAGTTCCTCATGTGGTGAGCCCCAATTTCATTGTTACAAATGGAACGTAATGAAAGCATAGTGATTAATCACAAAAACAATATGTAATTATATATGTGTTTTCCGATGGTCTTAGGCGACCCCTGTGAAAGGGTCGTTCGACCGCCAAAGGGGTCGCGACCCACAGGTTGAGAACCGCTGTCGTAGAGGCTTCCTGACATCCATGCTCGGGCCCAGGGGAAAGGCCCCAACACCTCATACGAGTTCCTGGAAGAGGAAGGAGGCTGGGATCCAGGCGCCCTTGTCCGATGGGCCCCACAGGAGAAGCAGGGGTGGTGGGGAGAGAGACCCCAGGGTAGCCGAGCCTTGAGGGGGCCAGCGCGGAGGGATGTGGCTGGCCGTCCCCAGCACCGAGGCAGAGCCTGCTCTTCCTAAAATAGCACTGGCTACATGCTTTGGGAGTCACAAGCATGTTCCCAGCCTCTGACCCATTGATGACTCTTCCGGGAATTTATCCAGCAAAAATAACCCAAAAGGCCCTGACCGGTTTAGCTCAGTGGATGGAGCGTCGGCCTGCGGACTGAAAGGTCCCAGGTTCGATTCCGGTTAAGGGCATGTACCTTGGTTGCGGGCACATCGGCAGCTGATCGATGTTTCTCTCTCATCGATGTTTCTAACTCTCTATCCCTCTCCCTTCCTCTCTGTAAAAAACCAATAAAATATATTTTTAAAAAATAACCCAAAAGAAGTAAAAAGACACTGGGAGAGGCTGCAGTGTCACTACACGCGTGGAAAACACTGCCGGCGGCCCAAATGCCAGCAAATGGCTAATTAAACCGGGACACGCCCTTTTGGGGGAAGATTATGCCACCTAAACTGGTCTTGGTAAAAACTGTTGCCACAAGAAAATGAGAGAAAAGCAGGGCAGACGCAGACTGTGTTCTGCGAAGGTGACGCGGAATCCACGTAATTCTAAGTAAAGGCAGGGGACGGGGGCGAGAGCAGAGAGCAGCTGGGGGATGGGGTTAAGAGAAAACGTAAAATGTTTTTCAAAATGCTATATATGGTGTTATGCTGCTGCTTTTTAAAGAAACTTTTTAAACTGGAAATAAACACAGAACTTCCTGTTGCCTCCAGCGGTGACCCTGACCCTGGCTGGTCCATAGCAACCAGTTTTCTTAGAAAGGGGAGATCCTGGCAAGGGCAAAAGCAAGCATCGCTATCCGACTCCCGAAAATCAACCGGAGAGAACAGGGTGGGAGAGGCACGGCGTCTCCAGACTGGCAGTAAAACAGCCGAACAGCCCTTTAAGATGCGATTCGACTTTAAATGCATTCCCAGCCTGAAGTGGCACCGGCACCAGCCCCTTGATCTTTAACAGATGCCAAGGGTCTGGGATGAGGCAGTGGAGACCTGCCGTGAGCCCACCCCACAAGGAAACTCATGCCCTCGGCCTTCGCCAGGGACTGGCCATGAGGGGAGGAGCTGGGGGGCGGGGGGCGGGGGGGGTCTGCGTGGCTGGGACTCAGCCCAGAGAAGCCTCAGAAAGGCTTCAAGTCTGAGGGCAGCTGCTGCCTGGAGGAGGAGGAGTCTTGCTCCGGAGGCCCCGAGAGAAGGCTGCTGGAAACCTCTCTAAGAGTCCGAACAGCTCCCGTGAAGAGTGTGCTGCCTGAGACGCGGTGAACTCCCTTCCCACCCGCCAGAGGCCACAGGAGGGAGTCCCCACAGGGCGGAAGGCTGGCCCGGGTCCCGCCAAACGGCCCACAGGCTTTGATGGTTACCCTAAAATCACAGGAGCTAAGTCAAGGCCCGACCCTCTCTGGGAAAAGCACCAAACAAGGTCTCAAAAAGGAAAAACAAGTGCCTCCTGGAGGCTCCCGGGTACAGAAAACACTGCCCGTCCTGGGAGAAGCGCCCGGCCGCCGGTGGGGAGCAGACAGCTGGGCAGGGACTGGCTGGGGCAGGAGCCAGTGTCCTCACCCGGGGAGAAGTGGTCGCGGTGGCCCAGGGCCGGAGGCGCGGGCTCCTGACCCGCGGGGCTGGGATCTCCTCTTCTGGGAACAGGGATCTGCTGAGCTGCCAGGTGGTCTGAGACCTGGGGGGCAGGCGGCAGCACGGCCTCGCCGGCTGCGGGAGGGAAGCGATCAAGCCCCTTCAGCTGTGACTCGGGCCAGGGCTCACCTTGTCCCTGGCGCGGGACTGGGACGGGACGGGGGAAGGCGGCCGGCACCGCTCCCAGGAGCCCCAAGCTGCGCCAGCTGACCCTCTGTTGAGCACTGAGGAGCTCATCACAGCCAGGGGGCCGGCAGGGATTGAGAGAAATGAGCTTTGCTGAGTAGACGCTGCGTGTCTACAACATCCTTGTAAAAGGGCAGCGGGAAGGAGAGGCACCAGCAGTGCCCAGGTGGCTGTGTGTGCATACGGTGTGGTGTCTGTGTGGTACCTCAGGCGGCGAGGGGGGTGTGTCCTTCTGTATGTACAGGTGTGTCCTACATATGTGCTGTGTGTACACACACACAAATACATGTCATGACAACCCATTACAGGCTGTGAGCACACAGCTGTCCATAGACATGTCTATTCTGGTCCTGATCTATCCAGGTCCTTGGAGCTTCCAAGCCACTTGGAAGCCATACAGTCACTGGACCCCACCAGGTGCCCCTCCTGACCTGCCCACCTGAGCAGAGGCGGCAGGAGAAAGATGTGAAGAGGAGGAGGAAGGATGTGAAGAGGATGAGGACCTGGCCCGCGAGCCCTGGGAGGCCAGAGCCCCAGCGCCATCTCGCGTGCCATCTGGAAACCCCAGTGCTACTGTCTGTCCACAGGGCAGGTGGCGCCCCGTAGACTAGGGGACCACACCACCTCGGTCACTCAAGCACAGTCACTGGTCATCTGTGCAGGTCCTTGAGCTGGGAAGGTCAAAGGTAAACAGGACTCCCAGGGGCTCCGATGGGCGGGCGGGGGGTCACCGCAGAGTGACTGGCCTCAGGGGGCAGGAACACTCTGCTGTCTTCAGACACGGCCGTGGGAGCTCAGAGAGGGAGAGGCTGCGTCACTCACACCAGCCATCTTTCCACAAGACTTTCCCGAGCGGG